TCCTGCTGGGTATTTTTGTACTTTCAGGTGCTTATTTAAAAAAAAAAAAACAACACCAAATGTGAAATATAGTCATATGCTTTGTGTTAGAATCATAATCTGTCACGCTCACTCTGTGATAACACTGTTTGCCAATAATCTCCATCTTGTTCTCTCCAAGTAAATTTGTGGCTTGCTGCTGTTTTTATAATCATTGTTGATGAAGGAAATTACAGTTCCTACACTGTCTGTTTAAGAAATGATAGCTCTGTAGAGGAGGAAGTTCCTTATATTCTCACGGAAGAAAGGGATACAGTGTGACCTTGTTCCTTAATTGGGCATCAGAAAACACTCATGAAACAGATTAGTAAGAAAGTAAGCATATTTGATTGCACTGGTCAGAGATTTTTTTCTTCCTTAATTGAATCAAGTGGAAAAAAAAATTATTAGGGTAGCTAATGAAGTACATGTAAATATGAGCTGCTTACTTTTTCTTTTTAATTTGTTTTTAAATGGTATAAAAAAACCATATTGTTTGTGTTGAATAAATATATCTTTCTCTCTATATTTGCAGCTCAAGGATCTCAGTTTGCTGGATCGCTGTCTAAAAGAAACTTTAAGGCTTAGACCTCCGATAATGACCATGATGAGAATGGCCAGAACTCCCCAGGTCAGTACGTGTGTTGGAGTGAACTTCAGTAGAACAGGGCTGGAAAAGGCCAGGTGGGGGATGTTCCAGTTGGCAGAAGGAAGAACACAAGTGAGCAGTGTTTGCTGGCAGGGATGAAAGCTGATGGCAGCCTGGGTTATATTAGTGGGAGTGTAGCCGGTATTGATTGAGGAAGGCAGTTAATACCTTGAACTTGGTAGTTGTTACCTTCATCTGGAATTGTTTGTGTCCAGTTTTGGACCCCTCTGGTCCCCAGCAATCAAGATGTTGATGAAGTGGAGCAAGCAGAGCACCATCAAGATGGTTGGAGCACTTGTCCTGTGAGGAGAGGCTGAGGGAACAGGGTTTGTTAAGCCTGGAGAAGGGAAGGCTCTGAGGGGACCTAGTAACAGCCACGTGCAGTCTTATTCAGCAAAACTGACTTTTTCTTTTAGCTATCAGTCTCACTTGAATTCTTAGTTTGGCGCTACCTTTAAGATATTTTTTGCTTGCCAGGTATTTTTAATAGTGATCTTGGGAAAATTTGGCTTGCACTTAGTACAATACAAGCAAGGTAAATCTGAAAGAAAACTTGCTCTTTGTACAAATAAGATAGAAAGTCAAATAAGTAAAATAATTTTTTTGAAAGACTGTCTCTCCCGTAACAAATGCTTTCAACAAATTTTAAGTTAATTAATTTTTTTAAATTTTCTGTTCCGGCCTTGTTAAAGCATCTGAAAGGTTCCTGTAACTACCTGAATATTGTGCCCTGTACAAGTAAAACAATATTAGGCTGCGTTAACTTTAAATGAGCTTAGCCAAAATTCTTTTGAAATTGAAGTCTCATGATGTAGCACTTCAGGTAACATTTTAAAAAGAAAAATGGAGAAATTTTGTGATGTGTGAGGTCTTGTCTCTTCTCTTGTAGACTGTTGCTGGATACAGTATTCCCCCTGGCCATCAGGTCTGTGTATCTCCCACTGTTAACCACAGACTCAGGGACTCTTGGAAAGATGCTCTAGACTTCAAGCCTGACCGATACCTCCAAGATAACCCAGCAGCTGGAGAGAAATTTGCGTATGTTCCATTTGGCGCTGGTAAGTAAGAATACACAGCGCCTTCCTGAGTGACTCTGTACTGAAGTGGCTCATAGTGGTTGTCTCATAGAGTACCTCCCCGTGCTGTAGCATCTGAGGATATTTTATTCTTTCTGTTCCTGCCTGAAAGTTCTCTTACTGTCAAAGTGCTGTTGAAAGAATGAAGTCAAGTTTTGCATTAGTAATAGCTGTGTATGTCACTCAGAGTAGCAATCAAAACAAATTTTGATGTTAGCGTTTGTGGTATTTGACTCAAGTATTTTCAAGTCAAGGTAAAAACCTGGTGATAGGGAGTCACTTTAAGGCAGAGCAAAAATCTGCAGAGAGAATCACAACTGTCAAAAGAATTTGCAGATATCACCGCAACACACTTATAGCTGATATCTTTCTGCAGTGTTCCAAACACTTCTTTGATGATAATGATACTTAAATTAACCCTTTCTGCTGAGGACAGAGCAACACAACCTCATTCAAATTACTCGGCCTGGTTTATGCAGGGGCAGCTTATGGAACCAAGATGCTGCTGGAGTCCATAATGGTAGATGTGCAGTATCAGAGCCTCACACAGGTTAGAAAGAAAAGAAGCAATTACTGTCCACTTAAAATTTTTAAAGTTAGCTTGGTGTCAAAGGTGATTTAATAACTAAGTCTTCTAACTGCTTTTTATGGCTTTCCTTCTAGGCCGTCATCGCTGCATTGGAGAAAACTTTGCTTATGTTCAGATTAAGACTATTTGGTCTACTTTGCTTCGTTTGTATGAATTTGATCTTGTCAATGACTATTTTCCAACTATAAATTATACAACAATGATACACACACCTAATAACCCTGTTATCAGATATAAGAGGAGGTCACTGTAAATTCTGGCGCTAAAGCCTTACTTATTTAAGTTGTTTAAACTAACAGACTTTTGAATAAAATTGTGACAAAATGAGTGGTAAAGGGAAACTGTTGCACCTGCTGTTGGAAAGCAACAATAATCTACCAAATGCAAAGTCTTTGCATCTATTTTGTTTGGCCACAGTATTTAATGCTGCTGTGTGTAATTGCTTGTTCTACAACTTTCTCATTGCATTTTTAAAATAAAAACTGTATTTTATATTGGTCTAACACTTTTAAGGTGCATGCCAACTCTTTAAGATGAAGAAATAAGTCATTTCTACAACCTGAACTCTTTGCTTTTGAAAAATAACTGAAAATTACTTTTCCTAGGATGACACAGGGTAAGACTGTCTACCTTACCTCTGTATCCAGTTACAGTAAATCCATCAGGGAACAGGCACTGAGGGGCAATGTAATTGGTGGTGCCCTACCTTCAATATTTGTGATTCTGTTCCAAGCAAACTAGGTATGGTCTTGGCTGATTATTTTAAAAAAAGTTACTGTACAGGTGAGTAGCAGGCAGACTACAAAATGTTCAGAGAGAAGTTTTCTGAGAATAAATGTTTTAAATGTCTAACTTGAAGCAGTTGTAAAATGATTAGATTCAGAAAGCAACAAGTAATTTTCTAAAAAAAAAAAACTTCTGAGTGTAAGTGTGAAAGTAACAAAATGATGATACAAACATCATTACTTTTGTAAATAACATGTTTGTGTATACAATGGTCACAAATTAAGTAAAATAGCTGGATGTTGTCCCCCTTTGTATTGACTCATGTGGGATTGTTAAATGGTGTTTGGTTTAAGACTGGTGATAAATGGTAATGAGGTCTGGCCCATAGGAACTTTGAATTAAATTTATAAACAAACCTCCTGGGGAAGTGTTCTGTGCTCAACTATGGCAATTCTGAAAATTTTGTAATAAACTTTGTCTCTTTCTTGTAAGTATGAAGTCAGTCATGCAAAGAGCTCCCCCCTTTCTTCAGTGCTCACTGGAGCAAGGGCTTTGCCCCGTCTTTCCTGTTCTAAACTCAGGTGTAACTGCTATAAAACCTTGTGTTGGTACCAGTCACAGCAAGCAAAGGAGTGGAGTATCTTATCTTCCCTCCCAGCCTTGTCAGATGTGATTGGGGTCTTCAGAAACCAAGCTTGTACCTGTCCTCTCTTCTTCTTAGTAGCAGCATTTTGGAATCTGTAAAAGGTAAAGCTGCAGCCACCATAAGCAGGAGGAGCGCAGTGTGATTGAGGGAATGGTTCTTGAACACAGTTAAAAGCATGAAGTCATCTTTATTTCAGTACTTTGACAAAATACCCATAAAATTCAAAACTTCTACCATTACAAAAATAGGTCTCTACAAGTGATATTCTGTCTGCACTGCCAGTAGCAAATAGTACGAGAGTCATGTAACTTCAGTAGCCTTGCCAGAAAAAGTGCAAGTAAATTTTGCTGAATGTAGTTCAATTTCATTAATACACAAGTTTCATCTTTTGCACCCTTTTGATAAACACACACTTCATAAGTTAATCATTTAAATTAGCATTCCATAAATATACATGTAATTTAATGGTGGGGTGTTTTTCTTGGTTTGGGTTTTTTTTTTTTTTTCATGAACACGAAGTGCCTATATACATAAATTCCAGGCTGCGTGGGTGTGCCAGGATGGAACTGTATACAGTCGTAGAGCTGTGTTCATATTGGTCCCACAATATACACATTATACAAAAGCACAGAAAGAGCACAGATGTACAGAAGGCAATCCATTAACATCACTGCCAGTGATGGGGATGTTGAAAGGGTATCATTACCTTCTCATACCAGTGTGCAACTGAGTGTATGAAGTCGAACCTGTAAGAGGGAGAAAGATTTTCATCAAGATTATTTGGAATTAAGTAGATGAGAATTCACCAATGACATGTTATTTAGAACAAAACTTCCTCAAATGATGGATTTTATGCTGAAGATTTTAACACAGTAACTGCAAAAATCAAGTTTGATAAATTATGTCCTATTGATCTGACAATTTGCTTTTTACAGCACAAAAATTACCATCACCTATGGGACAAAAAGGCTGTAACTTCTGTAATCGAAGTGGTAAGAGAAGAGCCAGCACTGTGCCCTCGTGGCCAGGAAGGCCAATGGCATCCTGGGGTGTATCAGAAGGGGGGTGGTCAGTAGGTCAAGAGAGGTTCTCCTCCCCCTCTACTCTGCCCTGGTGAGACCGCATCTGGAATATTGTGTCCAGTTCTGGGCCCCTCAGTTCAAGAGGGACAGGGAACTGCTGGAGAGAGTCCAGCGCAGAGCCACAAAGATGATGAAGGGAATGGAGCATCTCCCTTATGAGGAAAGGCTGAGGGAGCTGGGTCTCTTTAGCCTGGAAAAGAGGAGACTGAGGGGTGACCTAATTAATGTTTATAAATACGTGAAGGGTGAGTGTCAGGAGGATGGAGCCAGGCTCTTCTCTGTGACATCTAGTGATAGGACAAGGGGCAATGGGTTCAAGCTGGAACATAGGAGGTTCCGCTTGAGTATGAGGAAAAACTTCTTTACAGTGAGGGTGACAGAGCACTGGAACAGGCTGCCCAGAGAGGTTGTGGAGTCTCCTTCTCTGGAGACATTCAAAGCCCGCCTGGATGCGTTCTTGTGTGATCTGATCTAGGTGTCCTGCTCCGGCAGGGGGATTGGACTAGATGATCTTTCGAGGTCCCTTCCAATCTCTAACATTCTGTGATTCTGTGAAATTCCCCTTGTATTCCCACTTTTCAATCTTTTGGGTACATTTTTCTCATCTAGCTTAAAATCTTAATAAGATGCCAACTGAATCCTTTCTGCACATTTGTTAGAGATCAGGGAAAGTTAAAGCATTACCAATAAACTCAAAATCTGTAATTACAGGACACCTGTATGCCTTCCTTCAAAGAATTTTATCGTTTTCTTTTTAATGAGCTTTTTGCTACAACTCTGAATAGCCTCTTGTTTAAGGCAGAAAATGCCTAAAATCAAAGATGTTTGTCACCTATGTCAGAGAACCAGTACACACTTTCTAACCTGGGACCATGCCTTGTGCTACCCAGGAGTCAGGGGAGGAGTGCCTGAGCCTGTACCTGACTGCACGCTGCCCAGTCGCCTCTGTAGTGCCTCCAGCCGATTGATGTAATCTGTTAAAGCTCTTTCAGGATCATAGTTTTGCAGCTGAGAACAGGCGAAAGAGACTGGGTTTAAATCAGAATGCATACTGTGGAACCTAGGGGCCGAAGAACACAGATGTTAAAAAGCAAAATTTCAAATAAACCAAAAGTATCAGCAGACACAGCGAACTACTGCAAGTAGGGATACCTTACTGACCGCATGTGCCTTACCCTACCCGTGTGGCAGCCAGCCCATCATACCCATTTAACCTCCCTGCCATTTATTGGCCAAGCCATCATACTGCCTCTCCCAGAGAAATCCCTTTTCCCAGTTGCCTTTTCTTTCTACTGCACCCAATTTCTTTAGGACAAAGACTGACCAGCAAATTCCTACTGAGACTGCAGCAGAAGCTGTCATAGATTCATGTTTGCTTTTCTATTAAGAAGCTTGTGTGAACAAGGACACAGCCATCTTTACAGGAGTCTGTAGGAACCTTCATTACTTTCCATAAGTAAAAGTCAAAAGTGGCTAAAACAGATTAAACACTTTTTCCATGTAAACCGTTATGGTTGCCACAAATTAAAATTACAAATGTTGAGTGTTTTATATAAAAATAAAGATCCAAACTGGCAAGAGTCTGATATTCAGTAAAGCTCAGTGCCCACAATGCTGTATGAAGTCATCGAAGGCTGATGGCACTCCCAAAAACCTTGCCTTTGGTGAAAAATACCTGGTTTCCCTGGTATGGGATTCACTGATACCACTGGTCTGACAGCTTAGTACAGCCAACCAAAAAGGGTTTAACCAAGAACAAGTAGCTGAGCTACCACGCAGCTTCCACCCACACTCTGGCCATGAGGCTGTGGCAATTCCTCCCAGCCCACTGTAGCCAACCTCCCAGCCACAGTGAGCGGCCCCGCTTTTTCCTTCCTTTGGCTGAGCACACCCGAGGCAGCGCCTCCCCACGCCACACCCTGCTGCCAGCCAGAAAAGTGGACAGGCAGCAGTGGTTTGCCTGGTCACAAAGCCCAGACTCTACAGATGTAGATAACCATAGCTCAGTCCAGGCATCTACCACTTATGTGGAAAGTTTACAGGAGATCTAGGAGACTCCATGTCTGACCTGGATCTGTAGGAATGCCTTTGTTCTCCATAAAGATCCATGCCACCAGAGAATGAATCGTGCCGTACTTCATTACCTAGAAATATAAAAAGCAAAGTCTTGAAAATGGAAAAAAATTAACACCTTTTGCACTTTACTGAGAATCTCAAATGCAAGTTTTCTGTTTGCGTATCACAGAAATGGTGTTTAAAAAATGTAGACCACTTTCAGACTGCTTCAGAGATAACCAGAGGTGAAACCCTGGCCTCACTGGTGTTAATGAGAAAACTCTCACAGACTGAGCACGACAAGGTTTTAGTGCAGATCTGGATGGCCAGGAATTAATAAAAAAGCTTCTCATTCTCCTTAGGCTCCTACCAAAAAGCAAACAGAAAACCAGATTTCCCAAACTTGAAGCTGTAACAAAAGAATGACAGCCTTTTCTTCTGAGGGAAAGACCAGGGAGGGCTGGTCAAAAGGCTCTGTCACCATGGTGGGGGACTTGTAGTTACTACAACTCCTGTTTCTGTCCTTGTCCTCAGCATCCTCTCTTGCAGCTGGGGGGGCAGATCTCTTAAGAGAAACCCAATGACACAGCTAAAATTCTTTTTACAAACACACTCCATAGGGAAAGTTGCCATATTTTTTATAATCCCACCCACAATGGAGCAAAACAAGACTGACGAGAAAGCAAATAGATTAGTGTCTGTGCTGAGCACGGAAACTATCAGAAACCTGAGAAATAGGTTCATCCAAGCAATTATAGCAAAAGGAAAGGGGAATAGCACCCCATCCATTCCACATGAGGAAAATATAAATTAAAGAACATCTTCTTTAAGCAGTGGGGTGACTTGTGAATACCATTTTTTCAGTCACTACTGGACTATGATTTACCTGTGTTCTGGCTAAACACATCCCTATTGATACTTAGCACACCAGAACCCGTAACTCTGTGCCATCGACGAACCAGGAACTTCATTCTGCATATCAAATTAAAAAAAATAATACTTCAGAAGAAAGGAAATAGTCTGCTAAAAATAATCTGCTTATTGTATTCTAGAAGGCATAACAATTTCTTGAACACAAAGCAAAATTAATGGATGGGCTTCTCAAACCTGAAGATCAAGCAGAAAACATCCTTATACACATCCCTAAGAAAAACATCTTTTGTCCAAATCTGCTTTCAGCATCACCTCTGCAATTCCAGTGATTCCAGAGGTGCTGCATAAGTCTAAGTGGACAGCAAATGGCTCAAGCACCTAAGCAACAGGGCATCAGCATTTTAAAATCATACTAGACTTTTTGTCCTGTTGCACCCCCAAAATTGTAATCCCAGAGTGCTATGAGTAAAAGCCTCACAACAGGTATACAAATAGTTCCGTTAATTTATACTACACACAAGGCTCAGATCAACAGCAAGCAGAAGTGCTTGGGGGGTCAAACCTTTGTGAAGGTTTGCTATCATCCTCAGAGACCTAGCCTTGTGAACTGAAAGGACTACGCAGATGGATAAAGATAGTTCATAAATCTGTATTACGTTTACATGTAAGAATTTAACCTTTAAAGGAAATTAAGTTGTAGAAAATACCATGGTAAATAAGTACATACCCTAGAACTGCTAGTAATTCGTGCACTTGCAGCCCAGAAAGCAAATCATGTCCTGGGCTGCATCAAAAGAAGCATTAGCAGCAGGTCAAAGGAGGTGATTCTCCCCCCTCTACTCTGCTCTCGTGAGACCCCACCTCGAGTCCTGTGTTCAGATGTGGGGCCCACAACATAAAAAAAGACCTGGACCTGTTGGAGAGAGTCCAGAGGAGAGCCACGAAATTGGTCAGAGGGCTGGAGCACCTCCTCTATGAGGACAGGCTGAAAGAATTGGGGTTGTTCAGCCTGGAGAAGAGAAGGCTCTGGGAAAACCTTATAGCAGCCTGCCAGTACCTGAAGGGGCCTACAGGAAAGATGGGGAGGCACTCTTTATCAGGGAGTGTAGTGATAGGACAAGGGGTAACAGGTATAAGCTGAAAGAGGGTAGATTTAGACTAGACATTAGGAAGAAATTTTTCCCTGTGAGGGTGGTGAGGCACTGGAACAGGTTGCCCAGGGAAGCTGTGGATGCCCATCCCTGGAGGTGTTCAAGGCCAGGCTGGATGAGGCTTTGAGCAACCTGGGCTAGTGGGAGGTGTCCCTGCCTGTGGTAGAGGGGTTGGAACTCGATGATCTTTAAGGTCCTTTCAAACCCAAACCATTCTGTGATTCTATGATTACTTTATCCAATACACTCCATCTTTGATTGATTGTCAAATATAGAGTCATTTTCAACTATAACAGACTGCTTATTCCGATTACAGATTTGACCTATGCTCTGCTCAACTTGTCACCCCATGCAGTATCTACTATATTCATGACTACTAAAAATGTGCAATTTAAACAGGATGGAACATCCGAAGTTTTAGATTCCTCTAGTGAGCTAGAAAAGTATATATTAGACTGCACAATCATATCTGTTTGAAATCTAACTTCTTCCAGTTTACCTTGAAATTGCGATGGACACTCTGACTGCAGAGCGAAATCTTGTAAAGCTTTTTGAATGATGGGTGATGACTTCGAGGTCTGTGTAGGAAGGATGTCCACCCATTCGTGCAATGAGGGCCAGCGTGGCTTCTTCACACTCCTGGAAGCCACCTAGTAACAGCAGCAAATATTTTTTCTGATATATGAGAGCTTTCCGAAAGCTCTCTGCTCGCAGATATTTGCCATAAATTCTCTGCAACAAGAAACAAAAAAGGTCCCATAAGCTCCAAGAACTACTACAGTTCAAACACTTTTGACATTATTAGTCCTCCAGTACTTCTGTGGAGAAGACACTTGCTCACATTTGTTAAATGCAGCTTCATAATTTGAGCAGCAAGAAACTGAGCACACACAAAAGGACAACTTAGGTGCTTGCACGTCATTCTTGGGGAGAAAAACTAAAAGTCAGGTATCTGAGGATGGAAATTTGAAAAATGAATTAATATCTGTTTACTTAGAATAAGCAGATTGAACACAATGAAAAATAGGCCCAACTCAAAAGGAAAAAAGCAGCTGTAGTTAGTGTGCGGGCAACAAAGTCTTCCTACCCTTAAAACGGCATTTTCAGAATCTGATCCCAGTTCTCTGAGGAAAGCTTCGCTCCTGAGCTCTGCTCTCAGCTTGGAGAGTTCTGCATCAGCTTGCTTCAAAGATTTCTGGAGTGACAGCTTTTCTCTGTTCCAAACCTCTTTCTCAGAGGCAATAAGAGTATCAATATTAACTCCAACATCCGATGAGTGTCTAGAAGACTGAAGATGAAAGAAACTTAATTCGAACCACACAGTTTGGAAAAGCTTCAGCTGTGTCATTCTAGTCATTGGTTTGGTGGAGAGCTCATAAAATTACTGAGAGAAAAACTGCCCACTGGTTGGATTTGAGGCTACCCTTGCATCCTAACACCTCAGCTAGTGAGTTTAGGAGCCTGATCAACATCCTAGAAAAAATATAGCTTGTCCCAAAAAAAAATCCCTCTCATTGGATCATACTAGCTTCATAATCTTGAAGCTATCTGGATCTATTTGCTACTATCATGGTGATGAGATACAGATCAAACAGAGAAGCACATGGAATTTAAAAGAAAAGAGCAGTTAACAAAAGGAAGCTGGGCAAAATGACAAAGCTTACAGTAAACAGAATGAGTCAAGATATCTTGACCATAGGACAAGAGTAACTCACACCTATTTACTCTGCAGGAGGGAAGCCAAGAAAGACAGCTCGATCACTCCCACTTGCTCTATCACTCCCACTTAGGTGACCAGGACAAGTGTTAGTGCTATTTCACAGCACAATGCTTTTATGCCTGTATATACATGTCATTATTATCAGCACCATCGAAGACATACACAGTCTCCAGAAGGTTTTCTGTGCTGGTATCTTCTCAGTTCTTCCTCCAGTTTCATAATGGCATTCCTCAAATTATTCTTTTCTTCACTCAATCTGCTGACAAAGCCCGTCAGCTCAGCATTTTGTCTCAGCAGCCTCTCAGTCAATGAGCTAGATGGAGTCCCTGGTGGTAGCACTAGCTTCAGCTGAAAGGAAGAACAAAAACCAGACACAACTTGCATTAGATCCAACTTGCCATCTTGAAAATAACTATCTTACAGTGAAAATAACTTTTGTTGATAGTGACAATAACTTCATAATACTTTATAGAAAGAAAACACAAGTGTACATGTAAACTATACATTAATGTGACTTTCTTTTCTATGCTTATCCCGTCTGTCACAGCAGAATATTGTCACACAAGCTCAATTGTACCAGCTATAGCCATGTGCAAAGCTTTTCTACTATGCTTAGATTTATCTAACTCGGAGGAAAAGAAAAGCCCCAGAGCTTTTTGCCAATTCACGTTGAAAACAATTGCTTAAAATGCAGGTGAGGACCTAGCCAAGCTCAGTTAAAATCAGATATTGCTGAACTCTTTGTAACAGATTACCTCATTTCATTTTTTACACAGGTGCACACTACTCAATCTTCTACTGCCTTTCCTTTGGTAAATACAGGGCAGCTTAAGTACATGTGTTGTATCAACACAATATAGTAAATATTAAGTGTTGATTTTAATATCAGGAGGTAATGAGCAAAGTTTCCTCAGTTACAGAAATACTGCTGGAAAGGAAAATACATTTTCTTAAAGAAAAAGCCACAAAAAACCCTATAATGAAACTGAAAAAGTTTTAATTTGAAAGTGAAAATTCACTTTTAAAGTAATTATAATTGACATAAATAAAAGGAAATGGTCTTTTACACTTCACCAATTCCAAATCAGCACATTCACTGGAGCAGATTTTCCTCTATGAAGTACAGATCTGGATAAGTACAGACTTAACAGCTCCTTGCTGCTTTCCATTCACAACTCATCATCCAAATTCTCCCACCAAAGTTACAACGTTGCACTCTCACCTCTTCCAGACAGGACAATCCGGGCAGTTTTTGCAGCTCTGAAATAACTTCTTCAATAGCATTTTGTATTGCTATGAAGTCTTGATCATCTGCTGTTTCAAACTGTAATCTGAAACAAAAATGACAGCTTCAACAGCAGATATAGTCTGACACCATGAGACAGACTGATAGGACCTTCCGTCGATCCATACGCACTGAGATTTCAGCAAATCATGTCAGCATAGTTACTGGAGACTTGGCAACATTTTCAAGACTACCCAGTGACTCTAAATTAAGTTGGTTCGATTTTCTAAAGAATTTGCACAGAACAGTTTCCACTAATTTTGAGAAAAGGATGTTCTATGTGAAGCACATTTAGAAATATTCTGCTTCCCACAAATTTTGTTAAATCTGTGTGAGCAAATTCTTAGGGTGTTTTCAAGATATAATGTGTTCTGTTTTGCCCAAATGTTTCAGAATAAATACTTAATATTAAATCATCATCACAGCAAAATAAAAACAGATTCAAACTTCCCGTGAACCTGGTACCATGCTATTTTTTTCTTTTCTTAAGGAGATAGCAACCTGAGAAAATAAGAATCACTTGACCATAAAATATTAATTTATTCCAAAGGAGGAACAAGGGAGGTGATCCATACCAATAAGCCCTGTATTCATGCTCTTATACAGTGAATTATATAATTACTAAATTGCTTAAAAATTATCTTTCACCTGCACACCATACACAATAAACCTGATCACTTTGCAGAAAAAAAAACAGAGAATTTTGCTGTAACTTACAAAGGACCATATTAAACATGTAAGATTTAGAGCAGCACTTAGATACTCTGCAATCCTGTCATACATCAGCATATCTCAAGTAATGGCATATACTATAAAACTAGAACAACCCCAAAATTACCTAGGCCTGCACTCTGTGAATTATGATTAAAATCCAATATATTAGCTTGCTGGTTGCTATTAACAAAACCAAGTAGCTGAAGACTGGCCTAACCTGCTAGCAGCTTTCCGAGCCAACTGCTTCAGCTTTGGAGATGCGTTTTGCAGCTTTTGTCTGACATTTTCCAGAATTCCAGTAGCAGCAGGGACATCTCCTCCTCCCGTCAGCATGGGATAGGTTGATTCATTCATCTCAGCTCCTTCCATTTTTTGCTGGAGAACCCAATTTCTTGTTCTGTCATTGGGCGTATCCCAGGTAGTCTGTACATAAATATGTATTTTTATATATATATATTAACACATAGTACGGTGCTTTAAAATGGAATCATTTGATTCTGAAACACACTCAGAAATTGAACAACAAACAATTCTGACACAGAAAGGAGTTTAGTGTGACTACACTACTGTTGCAGCGTACCACTAAACTATTATTTGTGAATGGTATAGTGTGATCCCTCTTTTGACTAAGACTGAGCAATCATACAGCTACAGTGTGAGTCCAGGGAACAAACTGAGCCAACAGGAAGCCACTCAGCCTTTCTGTTTCTTCCGCCAGCAGCTCCTTTACCAGTTGTGTGTGGAATTTGGGCAACTGCACCCAAGTCTTTCAGTGGCCAATTCATAGTCAGAGGAACAGGACTGGAAAAGCCACCATGGTCATGGAAATCAGTTCCCAGCCACAGGCAGCCATACCACTGGTGCTGCCACAAGTGAAGCGAACCACTGAACATGTGCTCCTCACCCTCACTAACACCCCCCCAACACCAGCCATGGAAGAACCTAAGTCTACAGCTACCAAGGAAACCTAAGTCTACGGCTGTGCCTTTGGATATTTGACCAAGATGTGGTACCAATGAGAAAAAAAAGCAGACTGTGGCAAATATGTATTGGGTTTCTGTGGCAAGGTTTTGGTAGCATGGGGGCTAAAGGCTGCTAGAAGCTTCCCCCATGTCCAAAAGAGCCAATGCCAGCCGGTGCAAGACAGAGTGGCTGCTGGCCGAGGCCGAGCCCATCAGCAACGGTGCTAGCACCTATGGGATAGCATATTTAAGAAGGGAAAATAGTTACCACAAAAACAGCAGCGGAGAGAGGAGTGAGGTATAAGAGAAACAACTCTGCAGACAACACGGTCAGTGAAGAAGGAGGGGGAGGAGGAATGCAGAGTGCAGAGATTCCCCTGCAGCCCATGGTGAAGACCATGCTGAGGCAGGCTGTCCCCCTGCAGCCCATGGAGGTCCGTGGTGGAGCAACCCCACAGTGGAGCAGGTGGATGCCCAAAGGAGGCTGAGACCCCGTGGGAAGCCCACGCTGGAGCAGGATCCTGGCGGGATGTGTGGAGCCATGGACAGAAGAGCCCAGGCTGGGGCAGGTTTGCTGGCAGGACTTGTGACCCCATGGAGGACCCATGCTGGAGCAGTCTGATCCTGAGGGGCTGCACCCTGGGGAAGGGACCCACAGTGGAGCAGCTTGTGAAGCACTGCAGCCCATGAGAAGGACTCACGTTAGAGAAGTTCCTCCCATGGGAGAGACCCCATGCTGGAGCAGGGGAAGAGTGTGAGGAGTTTTGCCCCTGAGGAAGAAGGATTGGCAGAAACAAGGTGTGACGAACTGACCACAACCCTCATTCCCCATCCCTCTCTGTTGCTGGGGGGAGTGAAGTTGAGCCCAGGAAGAAGGGAGGGGTGAGGAGAAGCTGTTTTTCAGATTTGGTTCTATTTCTCATTATCCTACTCTGATTTGATTGGTAATAAATTAAATTAATTTTCCCCAAATTGAGTCTCTTTTGCCTGTGATGGTCACTGCTGAGTGATCTCTCCCTGTCGTTATCCTGACTCATGAGCCTTTCATCGTATTTTCTCTCCCCCGTCCAGCTGAGGAGGGGGAGTGGTAGAGTGGGTTTGGTGGGCACCTGGCATCCAGCCAGGATCAACCCACCACAAAATGTCACAGGAAACAGCAGGAAATTCATTATTTGAAACTTTAGGTAGATCCTGGGAAGCAGATCATACTGTCTGCCGCTGAGGAGGGGAAAAAGCCCTAACAGCCAACTGGCAACCTGATCCAAGGGAAGCCTGACTCTTTGTTGACCACAGTGCTGGCAGTTACCTCCTAGAAGAAGAGCAAGGAGCACAAAATGAGTGTGGCAAGAAGGCTGATGCTATACAGTTATCAATACACTCAACATCCTCCCTCTAGCTGTGGGTAGTTTTCAGTGTTTCAGAAGTTTAAAAACAGTAGCCAAATTAGATGAAGAGAAAAATTTCCTGTCTGGCTCTGCAGACAGACAGGTGCCAAAAAGCATTGAATGGGCAAAAATATGGTCAGTAAGGAGGCAAGTCTCCTGTCAACCCTCTCTGGGACTATCCACAAATCACCCACTCAGCAACACTTATCTATTACAGGGAAGTTTCTAAAGAGTTTTAAAAGTAATTTAAAAATGTTTTTAAAACCTTTCAAACTTTTTATGAAAGAGAAACATTTACAGGCAACAGTTGCTCCAACTTTCATTCACCTAAAAATTAGGTTAAATTCTGAAATTATTTTTCTTCTTTCTATTTTGCTTGCTAACAGATACATATTCATACATATGCTTGTTTGAATACTTATTTACTTATTGAAGCTGTTGGGAGATCACTTTTAAGTGTTTCAAAGACCACTTGTGGTTTATAAACTAGAGATTAAGAGCACTGATCTGGAGCATTCCTGAGTAGGAACAGCTCATTCCTGCGATTGGGTGCAGGGAACACCCTCCTATACTGAGACACAAAGTGTGTGTATACGTTCAGATGCATTTCTCCTGCTCACACTCCTCCTTACTCATCTCTACAGCTTCATTCTCAGAGGACGTGTGTGAATAGCTTTAGGTAGCAAAACTGGAATGCTTTCCCTTTCCCTGGTAACCTTATTTTGTAATCTGTAGGCTATTTTATAGATTGAGTAAAGGCATAGTTACACACAATGCTAATTGAACAAAACAATTAAAAGCTAAATTGCACAGTTCAGTATTACACATTGCTCTCAGACCTACTGTACCTCATTTGGATTGTGGCTTGGTGTTGTTTCGGCTTCCTTTCTTCCTTCATTCTCCTGCTCTTTTTTCTGTAGTTCTTGGATTATTTCCTGCAAGTTCTTTGTTTCATTCTCTAATTTATGAACTTCTTGCTTCTTTTCTTCAAGTTGCCACTGAAGGTCTTCTACTTTGGACTCCAGTTCATGGACTTTCTTCTGTGCTATTATGTTTGCATCTTGTTCTGCTTGTAATGCTTTCCTCTGGATCTGCCTCTCTTTTTCCATTTGCAATCTCACTTGCACAGACTCCAGTTTATACTTCTCCATCTCACTTACTAACTCCACTATACGGTCATGCTTTTCATCCATTTGTTTCTGTAGCTCTTTAAGTAATTCCTCACATGGATTAGGTGTTCCAGCTTGACCCTTATCTTCAGCACTTTGAAGCTGAGCACACAGCTCTTTTTCCCTTTCTAGGGCACTGCTTATTTCAAGAGCTCGAACCTTCTCTGATTCAAGAAGCACCTGCAACTCAGAATTACGGCCTCGCTCACGTGACAGCTGGGCAGCAGTGAGTGCTTCTTGGGATTCAACCTTCTGTTGCAGATCAGTTGAAAGCTGTTTCTCTTGCTCCAACAGTTTAGTTAACTGTAAGTTCTTTTGTTTTTGATCTTCAAGTGAAAATTTTAAATCCTTCCATAAGAAAATAGAAGAAAAGAATTGATTAAAGCCATTTGTGTATACTTTCCACTATCTTCTGCAAATTGCAAATATGCTACCTCTACACACATTGCCTTTAGCAGGTTTTGCTATTCACAATTAATGTGACAATACTCTGAATGCTGCAGTCACATATGATATTAACATATATTTAAAAGGAGTCTTTATAATAAAATCAGATCATCTCATACAAGAAGAATATTTATAACACACACTTTTTAATGAGATACTAACAGCCATAGTTCTGAAATTTAAGATAGCTAGCTGCTTTTACTTTCTAAAACTGTGGAAGTGATTTTGCAATTTAAGACTTCAATACGTAAATAAATCTATGCTGTTTAAGTGATTGCTTTTTTGTCTTAATACTTGTATTAGGATACCTGCTGTCTCCCTCACTATATCAGATACTGCATAGGTACCAAGGAATCTACTAATGCATTTTCTTCTAAAGTAAACTCCCTAGTTTGGTTTTCATGAGGTGAAACTGCTGACTTCTAAAATGAAGACAAACAATATAACTCCTTAAATAATATTCTTAAATACTATCTTTTAAGAGTTCGGTTGTTGTGGGAGCTAGGTGTAGCCATGTTAGCAGGGAACTGTCCCCTTGAGTAATATCTGAGGGCTATTATACAAAGTAGAATCTTTTCATCTTGGGTGTGACAAGTGCAGTTGTAAAATTCCTATTGATTTAAATGGAATTTGCATCAAGTCTTTTTCTTTCTTTGCCACACAGCTTCTATACACGTTTCTTCAGTTCTAGATGATATAATACCGCTGTTGAGAACAGAAAATGGAGCACACATTGGACAAAAGAGTAAGCTGAAATGAAATGTTAACCAAAAGAATATTTGTGTGCTCCTTGGTGTTCAGGCCATTTGGGATTACGGAATACCTCAAGCTCTTCTCTTCCTCTTTCCTCACTGCGTTCCATTTTAGCTTTTTCCTTTTCCAAAGCCCACTGTAGCTCTCTTGATTTTTTCTGTTCACTGGCCATTGTATCCTTGAGAATATCTAGCTCAGCTGCTTTTTCTTTAACTTCAGTCCTAAAAGAGAAATGGGCAACCTTTAGATTAGACAACGTCTCTAATCCTATCACAGTAACGTTACTTGAAACTTATTCCATCTTGTACACTGAAAACTCTTGTAGTAGAGTAACAGTGAACAGTTTAGAAAAGCAAGGCTAACCCAAAAATGAAAGTCCTGTATAGCTCAAAAATTACAGAAAGTGTGTCCATCCTGCTAACTTTGTAGCTGCCATTTTTCCTTAATTTGTGGTTCAGAAGCAGCTGGTGTTCAACTTCACCCAGTCACTGGCCAAAATCTGAAAGAATGCAGTGGGAATGTATCTTGCTGCCCTGTGTCTCAAAGGAAAAAAACCAAAAAAAACCCAAATCAAACCTATCTGGGGTGTGTGTGTTTAAAAATAATAAAAATCTATTCCCTGAGTTTTCAATGTTTGCAAATCAATATTCCATCCATTTGGAAAAGAATCTTGCTCCTGATGGTCTATAAACACTATAAGGTAATCTATAAAGTAACACCAATTTAAACTCTGTCTTAATGTGTTATCTCTGAGCTGAGCATTAGAATACTGTACATGGGCACATCCATCTGGTAAAGGCATAAATAATAAAAACTTTCTTGAGTGCCAAATATTTGGCCTGGTCCTTCTGCTGTTGACCATGCCAAAACAACACTTAGAAGTTATAAATTTCTTCTGGAGTTACTTGCAAAGTCATCTTAACTCTGCAACTTTTTTCTCTATGTTCAGTTTCAGAAGCAGAAAAACCTTTAACAGATGTTGTATTTATTAGCTTGAAAACAGTAGTCTAATGTGTCAAAATTTTAAAAGAATCTTGATAATATTACATTATCAAATCAAACTATGAATCAATCTTCTGAATTTATAGAATTACATTTTTTGTCAAATGGGAAAGAAGTCTATTTTTTGTCAGATATGTTTTACAGGAAACCTGAGAAGCATTTACATTTCATTAGATAAACTTCCTTAATAAAACCAGTATTATGAGACAACATAGAAAAGATCATCTTCACTGTCAACACAGAAAGTTTGGCATTGAAAGCTGCACCTGATGGTTTCTAGGTCCTTGAAGTGCTTGTGCTGTGCTTTAAGGGTTGTTTCAAGCTCTAGTTTAGCTTGTGCAAGTTCATTCTTCATCTCAGCACTCCTCATTCTCTCTGAATTCAGCTGTTCATGAAGCTCAGCTGCTCTGTCCTTCACACTCCGGAGCTCCACTTGCATCTCCAGTATCTGTGACTGCTTCTGCTGCATATTATACTCCAGCATTTCTAACGAGAGTATCATTAATATGGAAATTACTTAGTAAACAAACAACACCATCTATTTGTGTAAAGTTTCCCCTAGTGCAGAGAATGACCACAAGGCTATCACTAAGAGTGATATTTTAAAATGATATATTATTTCAATAGTGGAGTGAAAGCAAAACCATGCCTCTTATACTGGAATACCTTTCATACTTTCCAAGAAAACACTTAAACTCTTAAACTTTTTTAAAAGGCTATGTGTGCAACAATATCAATACATACCATTTAGATTATGACTAACATAACTGAAGTTAGGTATGTATGTATACCTGTGACCAAATTTTAGTGACAAAGCACTGACAGTGAGCATTTACTTTAAAATTTTTAAAGTATACATGTTCTCTGAACTTTTGTTGTTCATTCTAATTGCTTCTTAGTTTACTCATTATGACTGACTATCCAACAGAAATAATTTCAAAGCTGTTGAATCCAAACACTGAAGCGCATACATGGAAAATAACTTTAAAATACAAGCCTGATTTTCATAGCAATTGAAATAACTTTGTAGCTCTTTCAACTTGGTACAAGCCATAAGAACATAAGACTACATCTTAATGTTTGAGAAGTTAGTCCAATAAGATTGAAAAAGATGAGAAGTAGGCATGCTTAGAACAGGAGTATCAAAATCAGAGAGAAAAGAAAGTCAATATTTTTTTCATATACAACGTTATGAGAACTGCCATGAAAGTATTTGGAAATGTATATTACCACAGAAGTCACCTTGGCTTTTGGAATCAATCTCTTGTTCTCTCTTTGGATTATTTTTCTTACTGTTCATCTGAGCATGTAATACTTGAATCTCCATCAGCAAACTTCTTCTGTCTGCATTCTGAAGACAGTCCATTGCTGCTCTCTGGTTAGTAGCCTATCAGCATTAGAAACATATTTAAAAGTAAAATTCCAGATTTTATTAGAATATCTATGGTGTGGATATTACATTTACTTATATATTTGTAGTGCCTATATATTCAAAACACTTTCAATTAAGTCATAATTAAGTTAATATTATAATATTGGGAAGAACTGCTTGTTATTTTTTTATTTCTCTACTTGGTATTAAAATTATAGAATCAAAAGAGCTATTAGCTTTATGGCAGATTGTAATTTTCCTCGCTAATCCTTACGTGTTCCAGAGGAGATAACTGACCTCTCTCTGTGCCATAGCCACCTTATCAATTCCTCTTCTTATAACTTGCTTCACATACGCAAGCTACCTTTTATCTTAGAAACTGTAACATAATTCCAATTAACTTAATGAAACCAAGCTTAGGACAACTGTGTTTAATTCAAATGGATCTCTGAAGGCTGCGTTTTTTCTATAGCTTTTGGGTACCCAAAAATCTCTGTCCCACACCAGATCAGTTTTTATTTTTCAAAGACATCTCTTCTTCCTCCAAGTCTTATTTTGTTTTCACCCTTACACTGTCAAAACTACCATTAATACATATATTTTTAAATGGATTTATATGTTCAAAATTAAAATCTAATATAGACAAACACACTTTGACTAAAGTATTTTTTATATTACCTGCTCTTGTAGTCTGTGCTCTAACTGATTCATCAATATCACTGCATCGCTTGTGCCCAGTTCTGCAAGTTCAGTTTGAAATGCAGCAAGAAGAACATTTTGTTCTTTCACAAAAAGCTGCTGAATAGCATGCAGAAGTTCTCCTCGCCAGTCTGAAACACCTTCAGGAGACTCAGTACTTGCATAAAGCTACAGTGGTATAAAAACAATTTAAACGTTAGAATTCAAAGATTACATCAAGAATGGTCATTATTATTTTATGTAAAGTATGATTTCAGTGGAATATTGAGCTTTTCTTACTCAATAGCTACATAACATTCATTCATACACATGATAGTATTTATTGTACACATTGTGATTTCTTCTGCATATACAGGTGCTAAACTTTCATCTGTGTTTTAGATGGAAGCAATTTAGCTTTTTATAACTGAAAACTTAGCCACCTGCAGTTATTATTTATGTTACCGTACCACACTATCCTTTTAATTTTTATGATGCTACATGTACATTCCTAGACTCTCAAAGAGCTATTTGATAATGTGCAGATATTGTGTATGAAGAAGATTTAATTCTATAATGATATAAAGTTAATTCCCCCACTTCACATGCTGAAGGAAGTGCAGAAGTATAGAGACTACCTACATATATCAAAAAGTCTAACTGGCATATATTTAGACAGGTGTGTCCTAATAAGTTTTAACAGACTATTGATTAATATTGTATTATATTTTAAACAATTTTTCCCCTTTTTCCCCTCACTACAGTGTTTTTTTAATAGCATCTGAGTTCTACTACACCAATAAATAACAGTATTAAAAGATCTACTTTAACTGCTACTGGAAACATGCTTTCAAAATAGAATTATTTTTAAAAGGTGAATCTATACAGTCAAAATCTATCAATGTGCAGAAGAACAACTGCAAGCTGCATTTTAAGATATATTTTATTATCAGAAAGTGTGACATGCAGTTCTACTGCATATTTTTGAAATCTTTTGCTTTATAGAAGCATATTTAGAGCATTTAAACCTCAATTGCAAACGTTCCTTATAAGGTTATCATCAATTATTTCTTATTTAGATAGAATCTTATGTATTATTTATACCTCAGCTTCTCTATGAAGTTGCATTTTTGCAATTAGATCTTTCAAAGATGAAATGGTGCTTAGAAAAGCTTTCCTTTCCTCAAGACAAGATTCTGGCTCTTGCTTAAGATGTGGCATCTCTCTTTCACCACATTCAGTGAGAGACAGCACCTGTACGCCTTCATGATGGACTGCTCTCAGCAAACCCTACAATAAATACAAAAAGAAATCAGTAATGCCAGTCCTAATAATAATAACAATAATAATATTCTTGTTTCATACATATTGGAGTACTGGTACTTCTAAATTGATCAGCATAATGAAACTATTTAGGCTTCCTCAAATCAGACAGAAGTTTCACTCAGTTCTTTATATCTGCCAAACACTAGAACTTCTTAAATAGGTGCATTTTTCCTCAATTTCAAATGAAAATTCTCAAAGTTCATCTGTCAAATCAATACTCAAATTTTAAAATGGTTGCTGACGGAAACTGACATTTTAAAAACAAAGTCCTGGGAAGCTTCCAGGTGAACTTTTTGCAAGTACTATTAAGCTAGGGCTTTGTTGCAAAATGTTTTTTTCTTTTAATGTATTTAAAAGCATGATACCCATACTGTTTATAATAAACACTTTTTTTTTACTTTCATAATATAGATCTTATTCTACATCTATAACAGAATCTATAAAATTGTGTAATATATGATCTTGACATTATAATTAATACACAATGACTACAATAAATTAACAGTAGGTATATTGCTCATAATCATAACTGAAAACAAACCTACAGTTACAAAACTCATATTTAACCTAATTTAACATGCAAAAATGCACATCATTTATCAGAAGTATTTGTAAAATGTATTTAAATAGCCAACATTTTAAAACTTATCTAAATGGCTCTCTCTTCACTAATCACGCAGCAGCTGATCTAACCTTTTGGTAGTATCACTCTTGTTCCATAATAATCAGTTCCATTTTACCTTAATTTCTTTTGGAAGTAAATCTGTTGAAGTTTCACCTTCATCTATTCCTTCAGATATCGTGTCAGATCCCTGAGTCTGAGTAAGATACATTCCTTGACTCCAGTCTGAACTGGAATCTAAAATAAAAGGAGAGAAAAACATGAAAGCTGGATTACTGTGAAACTTTGAAGAACAGGCATCAAAAAAGTATTTTTGTCTGTTGTTGTAACAGGTGGTTGCATGTCACCAGAGTTGATTCTAAGCCTGGAGACTAACTGTTTCATAGTTTTCCTTTTTCAGTTTCAAAGCAGTAACAGCAAAACAAAACTAAAAGAACCTAACTCAAAAATCCTAGTTTAGTTCTAAAAGAGAAACAACTTCGTGCACAAACACTTCTGCCAAATGAACCTCCCCCCTAACCTGCTTAGCCTTTGCCTATGAAGAGTCATATTAACAACTTTTTTTGCTCTTGGAAAAGTCAGTACGTGTCATCATCTCCCACTACTCGGGAGCTCTGGCTTTAATTTCTATCAAGAGATGATGAACATATGCTGAAGAGATAATGCAAGAAGACCATAGGAACTCCACTTAGAATTAACAAATTAGCATTTGGTGCCTTGACTGAGCCCATCTCCACTCTAGTAATTTTCCTTCTATAGCAAATTAATAGACATTGCATGCTCAGCACCTTTTCTTAGTGCAACAGGCTTCTGCTTTGATCCGGGGAGTAGTTGTTTTTATTTCTTCGAATAGCAACCCTTTAATGGTAAACTTAACATTAAAAAAGCATATTTAATTTATAATTCTCTTTGAAATCTATAAAAACAAGTTTCTTACCACTAGAACCTCCATCTCTAGCTTGATATGGTGGAGAACGTGCTATTCCAGAAACTAGGATTCCCTGTATTTAGAAAAGGGAACAATCAAATCTTTAATCACCCCACACACACTCACAATAAGGAAGAGAATTCTAAAGAGCAGGAAACAGTATGAGCCTCTTTGTTCAGTTTCCCCTGCAATCAAAGTAATCAAAATGGAGATGAGAAAGGTAGCATTCAATAGTGTGACCTACGCTTGTCCCCACTTCACAGAGCAGGACAGGTCCGAGGCAGTAGCAGAAGGAAGCATCAGATAGTTGAGCACACTCTCAAACTTAAATTGCTGAGGAAGGGGTTCACAATCTCTCACTAGGCTGTGGAAACATTACAACCCTTAAAAGCTTTATACTGAACATGTGGTGGTTCACACTTAACAGACTTAAAATAGGAATTTCTGTAGCAGAAGCAAAAGCACAAACCGAAGCAGTTCAATGAATATTAAACAGGGTAAATACCTCTTTAGCTCGCAGAGTTTCTATGACTGCCTTTAAAGTATTACATTCTTCAGTCAATACTTGCACTGCCACAAACTTCTCTCTCTTTAATGCTTCAGATTCAGAGATGTGTCTTGTCTCCATGTCCATGATTTCATCAGCGTGAAGTTCTTGCATTTGTTCAATTTTTTCAGTAAATTGTCGTATGATCTCTGCAATCTCTTCTGAATAACCTCCATTTTGCAAATCGATTTGGATTTCTGCATTTTTAACAAGGGCTGGTGAAGTCTGGATACAGCTGTTGATTTCCACAGCTTTGTCTGTTTGTGATGATGAGCTTTTTCTAATTAGAGTAGATTCACTGGCTGACAAATCACACAATATTTCTGCATCCTTTTTGCTTTCAGTTTTTGCCGTTTCCTTATCCTTTCTCACATAACTTGAAAGGCTTTCTTCTGCTTGAGCTAGGTTCTCTTTGACTTTGCACAGGTCTTCCTGAAGATGTATCAGACTTGCTTCTTTTACCTGTAAATATGGTGAATCTGAATTGCAGTTCTTCCAAATACTTCAAAAAAAATCTAAAACCCAAATAAACCTCTCTACCATTAGAGCTCAGTTTAGTCCTATGTTAAAGCAGTTATGACACATGGTAACAAATATGTCCTAAGAAATACAGCTCTAGATCCACTGTTGTACTACAGCAGACTGTAAAACTATGTACTTCAGCTACAAGTGAAGATCTGTTCTACAGCATCAGGTCTATTCTTCTGACAGTAGGTACTGAGTGACTGTTTTTCTTAGCGGCATTCTCAGCACAAGATTAAAAAAACCTATAGCATGTATATTTGCACAATAAGTCCTGTATAATAATTTGTTTTAAATATGTTAGGAAATGATCTGGTTCTTACTGCTAGTTCTTGCTGAAGTTTTTCTGCCTTTTCTCTGTAACTGCTCAGTTCTTCCTTAGCGCCAGCTGCTTCTTCCTTAACTTGCTGTAGTTCAAGTTCAGTAATAAGCACATTTTCTTTTTGACTTTCCATGAGTTGTGCTGCTACCTATATAGCAACAAAAGATATGGAAAATGGTGAAGAATTTAGAGAAGAATCAGCTATTAACAGCATGAATCACTTTCACACCAACTTACAAAAGCCACAAATGAAAAGACCAAAGGGGAAAATAAACATTATTTGGATTAACATAGCCTCAAAAAATTAAGATCAAAAGACTATTTTCCTAGATTAACACCCACTAACTGGATAAGCATGGAAGAAAAGAAAAGCATGGGAGGAAAGACTGTCTTCTTACAGCTTACTAACTGCAAGCAGAAATTGGTTACACCATAGAGAAAGCATAGGGAGGAAGGTCAATAGAGAGTAGGAAATGAAGTCTGATAGTATTATTAAATTTATAAGACATTTACGACATTAATTCAATCTGCATTTGAATGAAAGGTCTTAGAACCTTCTCTGGACCAGCACTGGGTTCCATGACGTCTCTGAACTTAAGAGTTTCAGCAATCAAGCCCATGTCTGGACTATCAAAAATAGTCAATTTTGACAGAAGGTTTTAAATTCAGAGGCAATATAACTGGTGATGGATGGAAATCAGGACAAATGAACATTGGTAAAAACTAATGATAGGAGATATCTTTGGAATCAAGACAGGAAAGCAACAAAAAGTAAACCAACATCAAAGCACACATAAACAAGCAAGCACTTCCCAGCCCCCTCTCCAAAAACTGTACAGACAAATTGCTTAAATCCCTTATCATTCTGAACCCTCTCTTAGATAATTTTTATCACTTTAATTTTTTTTGTCTACTTCCATGCCACATAAAAGTGTAATACACTCCATTCTATGTCAAAGTAAGAATAAGAGACTGTATGTTCAAAATTCAAAATCACCCTATATTAATAAAAAAGCAAGGTGTTTTAAATGCAAAATGTAAAATTATAGTGGAGTTCACCTAAAATAACATCCTTCTTTTCTTTTTAACTCCAGGAATAACATATAAATGAAGATCTACCCCACACAACAGAATATTCCTATCACTAGTCTCATTAAGAAGCCTATCATTTATTATGGTTTACATAAAATAACTGATTTTATTGAAAACAACCCAGAAGAAAATGGCATCTAATTACCTGATGTGTCTGCTTTTCTTCTTTCTTAATATATTTCTGAATCTCTCCTTTGTGTTTTTCTTGAACCTCTTCTAGTAATTGCTGAAGTTCTAGGAGTCTCTCTCCTTTCAATTTAGCTTCCTTTTGTACAATTTTTAGATTTTCTTTTTCTAGCTCCAAGTTACGATTTACCATTGCCAGTTGTTCCTCCATCTCGCTAAGCCTCTGTATTAAGAGTGATAATTTTGATTCTGTCTCATTTTCAACTCTATCATTCAAACCCTCTGTTTGGGCATTCTTGCTTGCTTCCTCCACACATTTTGATGTTTCCTGATGCATAAGTTTCCTTTGCTCTTGGACAGCATTTAGTTGAACCTGACTTACAAGAGCAGCAGCAACTTTTTCCACTAGGGTCTTTTCCAGTTCTAATATCTTCTTGTTAAGTGTTTCTCTTTCAGCTTTGCCTTGTTCTTTCAGGTCTTTTATTTCATTGTAGGACCAGCACAGTTCTGAATCTTTTTCCTTAATGCATGCCTGAAGTTGCTGCAGTTGTACCTCCATTCTGCTCATGGTGATTCTTGTACTTTCATCTGAAGACCAAAGCTGCGTTTGATCTGGCACCTCTATCTTCTCACATGAGCCTCCTTCCATTTGTTCAATCTTCCCATTGCTCCTGTCTTTTGATTGTTCCCTATCACCTTCCATCAGTGAACACTTATACTTCTCTGTCATTCTTTTGTGCTCTTTTTCTAACACACTTATTTCTTGCTTTAGCTGGTTCATTTTTAAGTTTGTTTCCTCCAGCTCATTCCTTGTTTGAGATACCTCTACACTCATGTTTTCTACTTGCTTCTCCAAAGCTTCTTTTTCTGCCAGAACTGTTTCAAGTGTGTGTTTCAGACTGTCAGCATCTTCCTGAAATGCAGCAATGTCTGCAGGTACTTTTTGTTCAATGTTTGACAATTCTTGCTGAAGCTTATCAATTACGTCATTCAACTGCTCTACTTCCTCATCATTTTTTTTCTTCACACGTTCTTGATCACTTTTCAGATATTCTACCTGGGCTTCAAGCTCCCGTATATGCTCATATTGCTCTTCAATAACCTAGAAAAAAAAATACAAGAAAAGAACTTTTGAACAGGCAACTATCAAACCCTAGATAATTTTTCTCCTGGACTTTACATCAACAGTTTAATCAAACATTGAAACATCTTGTAAAAGAAAGTATGTCCTCAGTGAATTTCTTGATGGGATGTCTCTTGTAAAGCTTTACAAGAATCAGGACATCTTCACATAGGATGACAAAGTAGCGTGTGGCTTTAATGAACTGCAAAACAGGTGCGAAAGCATCAAATGAAACTAAAACATTACTAATATTCACAGAGATCTGAAACTCTGAAGTTCAAGTGTTCACAATACTTTTTCCCCAATAGTTTGGGCTAAAGCTCTGTCTTGTCCATTTTATTGAATATTAAAATGGAAACAAGGAAACAAGTGGAGTAGTCATGTCTACTGTTCAATCTTCTTGTGAAATCAAGCTTTAATATACTATTTTTACTCGAAGAATTCCAAAGAATCAAGATTTATGAAGCTTGAAACTTATATAAATTTTCCTGCATTACGTTAATAAAGAACATCCTTTGAAAAGAAGAAAGAAAGAAAAAAAAAAAAAAAAGATCCTCAAGCTTACCATGTACAAGCCAGGTAAGTTCAGTTAGACAAGACAGATACTCTGCTCTTCATGCAAAAGCACCACTCATTCATATGGTCAAACAGACTCATATAGGACACAGACAATTAAGATGGATATGTATTTTAAATATAAATAGATGAATTGTATTGAAAAATACCATTATAATATGCTTTTTACTCTCAGACCACAGAAAACACCTATCGGTTGACTGACATTTCCTGTCACAAACCTAAATACGTGTTTGTCTGTTTAAGCATGTGTGCATACACATATGCAGATGTGCACAGAAACATACAGGGCAAATAGTACCCATAGACCCAGAGCACAATTATTTCTTTGTGCTATAGTTTTAATGTAAATAAAGAGACAATGTTATAGAAGTATTTATTTTAAAATGTACGGGACTATCCAAACAAAATTCAAAGACAGATTGGTGAAGACATGAAGAGAGTAAGAATAATATTTTCCTATATTAGTTCTAAAGACACTTAATATTACAGGTTGCATAAGGGGCTCAAAATTTCAAGAAATTAATAAAATTATGTAACTGAGCAAATAAGAGGGTGATGACTTTATGACGCAGAAAAGAGAAGCCATCTTACTTCAGCTTCTAAAAAGAAATAAATGAGTGGACACATACAATGGAATAACTTGTGTTGATGACACTGGACTTTATAAATAAAAACGTCTTAGCAAAAGGAATAAGACAGCAAGTTACCAGATTCCAATACAGTAAGTTTCATAAAATTGATTTAAAACCCTGCTTGTTAAATTGCAGTGAGAGCAAATTCTCATTTGAGTGTAGGTAGAAGAATGACAAAAAAGTCCTTTACAAAGCCGAAATAAAGACAGACCAGATTATAAGTAGTAAGTCTAAGAAACAAAGTAGATATCTTTTCTTATGGGAATGTCTGGAGATCTGGAATGAATGGTGCTTCTACACTGGAAATGAAAGAGGCAGAAGGAAATCTGTCAAGAATATTTGGAAAGGAGATATTATAAAATAAAACCAGTTATGGTACCCAAAATAGCTAAGAACTAAAAAAGGGCCTTTTAGAAATATGAAAAAGAAAAAAAAATGTGGAAGAGAAGAAAGGTGACTCAATTAATTACTAAAATAGCCATGCCGCCATGCTTTTTCCTTTATCTCTCAATACTTCATTAGGTATAGTTAGTTAAACAGAATAATAAGACAACTTTGTCATTAAGTATAATATGTACAAACATAAATTATAAATGTGACCATATAAATTAAAAGGGCTGATTTGCCAATGAAGAACTTATTTTTGAAAATCCAGAGACTAGGGGAATCTTAAAACCACTAAATAATATGTGAACAAGACATGGGCTTTCATAAAAAAAGAACAGTGATCCTGGTGATTGCTACCAAGTCAGCATAACAGTTCCTGCTCTTCATAACATAATAGAATAGAGGACCACAGAAGGCAAATACAGCAATTAGAAGAAAAGCACTCAGCAGGATGAAGATCTCTAAGGGACTAGGAAAGGGATTAACCTAAGAACAATATATTCATATTTAACACTGATCTCATAAGCAGAGTGACTATTTAATGTCCTTTAAAATATAACTAAGAGCATGAAATTAAGAAAATGAAACTTCATATAACAAGAGAAGAACCAATCATTAAAATGAATTATACTTGAATCCTGGGTATTTGTCTCAAGGCAAGTAATGTAACTGTATTACTGCGGTCACTGTATAAAGCAGAAGCATTCTGGATTCCTAAAGTATGATCTTTCCTAAATCCAATTCAAAGTTTTGTCAATTATTCACTGAAGTTCATTATAGCTGAATTTTGCACATAAAAACTCAGTGAAATTATCCAGCTCGGTCAGAGCTCTATTTTGGAGGATTCAATGTCCTAGTAGAATATTAGCCTAAATGTTCAGACAGCTACTGAAGGGTAACAGAACTCCTGTTCTTACCTTACTCAATAATACTTGCTTTGTGGTTAAAGCTTATGACTAATACATTTTCACATTTAAAATGGTCAGAATAAAAAATTCATCCACGGAAAAAATCCGATTTTCTTTTTATAAAAAATGTGACACTGAAGGCCAGTTTCTGCTGTGACTTACATCAGTGTAAAATAAGTAGTACTTCTGTTGAAACCAAATGCATTATATCTGTATAAAATGTAAGTAAGCCAGAATAAGATGAAGCTCATTATCATAAAAACACATACTTGAAAAATAACAGAAAGCTACAAGTGTTAAATCTCAGTAACTAGAAGGATGAATCTGCTTCTTTCTTTCTTGCTCTCCATTTCTAATAAAACGTAGCATTTTGTTTGCACATCCACCATGCCTCAAACTGGATTAAAGATGTTGCCAACATTAGTAACATTTTTAAATTAAGGCACCAATAGAACCTAATGTAATTGGTGGGGGAATGGAGTTTTTTTTTTTTTCTTCAAACAGCTGCCAACACAGAATAATCTGAAAAGATTTCAAAAGTATGTACTTTGTTGTCAGTTGTGATGTCAAGTTGCTCTTGCAGTTTCGCAATTTGGTCATGAAGATGATCTATTTCCTGCTCCTTTTCTTGCATGATGTGAGCCAGCTTCCCAGCCACTAAATGATGGTCCTTTATGGTGGCATCTTCAGATTTCTGGATAGCTAGTCCCAGTATTTCCATTTCATCCTACCAAAAAAAACCCCAAAACCATGTTACAGTTGTACATAACATTTTCTGCACATACTTGGATGAGTATTTAAGGCATAGGAACTAAAATAACAAAATGCATGGAATGAGAAGTAATTATATGAGCTTTTTAGTATTTTGCAAGTTGAACCAATGAATGCCTGAGAAAGAGAAAGAATTTGGCATTCCGACTTTTTCCAAGAATTTCCTTGGGGGGAGGAGGCAGAATAAGGCTCTGGGCTTCTCTGTTACACAATTACCTTAAATAATTTGTTCTCTTTTTCAAGTTCTTGCAGGTGTGTAGTGGACTCCTTTCGCTCAATTTCCAGTTGCATGTGCAATTGCTGCACTTCTTCATTTTTGTTTTCTAGTTCCTCTCGAAACTGCTCCAGTTGTTCCTCAAGGTTTGTGACCTATGTTTCCGAAACAAATGGTAGAAAAAGAGTAGATTGCCATACCAAAAATTAAATGTAATAATTTTCAAGTGCAGTGTCTGCAGTACTTGGTTTGGTATGCACAAACAAAAAACTTGGTACTCAGTGACATTCTGAGTCCTTAAACTGAATGGAATTTTAAACCCATCTAAAAACCATCTGAAATCACTAGGAGGTTTTTCTTAATTGGGCTGAATTTTTATTCCAGAAACACTCTTGTAAGTCATAAGTATTAATATAGACAATAACAACAATTATCATGGCTCACAAGAGAATTCAAAGGGACTTGAACTGCTGTCTCTCTTATCCGTTAAAAAAAATTATCTGTATAGTTCCTGAAACTGAACAGAAAGCAAAAACTGACAAACCAAAATATCAGTGGAAACAAGGAACATTTCACAGGTATTTCACCTCCTTTTCCTTTCTGTCCACAGCTTCTCGTTCAGCTTGCAGTTGTACTTCAAGAGGTAATTCTCCCTTTACTATGATGGTGCCAAACTGTTTCCTTTCCTCCACCTTTAAATATACATTATAATTAGTTACTTTATTTGTTTAATAATAACAAACAAATAAAAAAGATACACTGTTTTGTTCTCAAGAAAATAACAAAGTAGTAAATAGATGATAATTTTAGACCAAGCAATACCTTTTGCAAGCTGTCTGCACTGATGATTAAGGCTTGTTCCAGTTCTCTTATCCTGCATTCTAGTTTCTCAATTTCTTCATTTCGTTCTTGTATATCTCTCTGAAGTTGCTCCTTAGAGAGCAAAAGCTCACTACATTTGTCTGTTTTTTCTTTTAGATGATTTGTTAACTGTTCAACCTGGTGACAATATGGCAAGAAGTTTAATATATTGTACTAGACTGGACGGATTTGCTAGCAAGAGCAACAGCATTCATTTTTGACAAAGAAAAAACATCCTTCTTTTTTTCTTGTAACGAAAACTCCTGCCCTATAGGTGAAACAGAATGCAAAGTCAGGACATTGTAGTGCTACATCCAACAAATACAAACAGCATTTTTTAAGAAGTGATCTATTCTGTGCTGTATCACCTACCCTTTAGAACTGACCTTGTCCTTCTGATGCCTTGAGACTCTCTAGTCAGTGAAAAGCAAGTAGCATGGCATCCCTACGCAGCCCACTGTAAAGAGACCCTTAACATCCACAGAGGGAATGTCTTGACCCTAAGGTCAAGATGCTATTTGCACCTTTGAGGAATACCATAGTTCTAAAAATCTGTGACACAATTATTCAAAATAAGACATCAATTAGTGACATACAGACATATCCTAAAACTCACTGGGTCTTTAAAATTGAAGAAAATTGCTATACTTCAATCTCAAGAAACAGGAAGATTTGTTTTCTAGCTGCGTTTGTTAAATGGGACCAAATAGGTGTGATGGATGATACAATATCACTTTCTATAGATGGCAAAGCATCCAAATAAAGCATGGTGAATCTCAGTAGTTCAGATGTTTGTGGCTCAGAAACAACATATTAAAAGAATAACTGAAGTTGTAGAGATAGGAATGATCCCAGCTCTAGCAGTATTTCAGAAATGATAAATCAAAATTACAGAGAAGAAAGACGTGTAACAAATCCATGGTATTAGGCCTGATGCACAGAGTTAAGACCTGAGTTAAACTAAGCAACTAAGCAAGAGACATGGAAAGTAATGTTTGTCCCACTCAAGAAACTGATTTCAGGATTTACATTTAGGAAGTTACAATATAGCCAAAAGTTAGAAGACTCAAAGCATTTCAACAGACAGGAAAGGAGAGGACCAGAATATAACGCTGACAGGATGGATGCTATTATTGATGGTATCCATCCATGAGTAACATCAAAGTCTGAAGTGACCACAGAAAAGTCCTGAGAGAGAAATGAAAAAAGAAAAATCAAGTCTAGACCAGACTCTTCACAACAACCCTCCCTGGAATCAGTTGACAGAGTAAGCTGAAACAACACTAAAAAAGAAATGAAGTTATCAACAGAAAATGCTCATGGTGTTTACACAAAGCAGAAGAGCATTTCAAAAACCATGCAACTATTGAAAAATAAAGCAGCTGTATCAGAAAACCAGGAGAAATAATGATAAAATGTATACTCATGAAATATTCCAGCACTGTGACATCAAAATATTCCATATAGTAAGACTATGTGCCTCATTTGATTAAAATTAAATGTAAATCTAATATACTAATGAGAATTCTGTCTATAATTTGTAATGTCTCACATTCAACACCAGCTCTAAAACAGCTGCTACATCTCTGTTGCTTGCAGACATTATCTTATTGTCTATCTTTCTACCCACGAAAAAATTCCAATTTAAAAGTATCTAATACAAATCTCAAAATTTTAATCACAGTTACAGCTGTGTTTTGTTTTAAAGCATGCTTTAAATTTCCATTGTAGCATATCTGCAAAATTAGAGTATATACATATGTATACATGTGCATATAAATAATGATGATTTTTACATACAGATTCTTTACAGAAAAATAGGGCAATTTTTATTATGCCACCAAATTTGAAATTTTTTTTCTTAGCAGAATTTTTTTGTAAGTGTGAGAATATTAACCAGGAATTCACACACTACTCATGCCCCAAATTACAAACAGACACATAACAAAATTAACTCAAAATGAGCACCCTGGATTCCAGAAAACTAATTCTGCTAAAAAGTCTCCCCCATCTACGGAACGTGTCAACAGGAGTGTGCACACCCTTTGCAACAGAAGGAAACTGATGCAGAATTGCTCCATATCTGTTGGTTAACACACACCCAGCTAACTCCAGAAGATTAATTATGCACAGAGGCTGATGACAGCCACATCACATAGCACTGCCTGAATACTTTGACTACAAGATTTCTTACACAACTTTGTATTAAAATACATTAAAAAACCCCCAGGAAATATACCTGTAAATCTGATAATTATAAGTAAATAAATATTTTGACAACTTACATCTCACATATATCAATTTATGTCCTATTACTGTCTATGGTCCTAAACGATATAATACAGAATACTAATATTGCTAATATTTTAGAATTGAATTACAGCAACTAAACTACTTCAGTGAGAACCTTGATTTGAAAATTGCAGTGCAACCTAATAAGAGGCATTTTAAAACAGAAAATCAGGCAAGAAAACAATGCAAAAATATCTGCCTTGCTCAGAAAGCAGGACACAAGAAAACCTACAAAATAAAATGCAACTTAATTGACCAACATGTTATCAAAGAAAACATGCAAAAGCTTCATAATAGATATCATTTGCACTGCTGCCACTTTTGATTTTGCTGACTCTTAAGTGTTTTCTATTCATTCCCTTGAGATGCTGTTCTAGAGACACTGAATTTGTTTCAGTGGAGACAGACTTTCAGTGGGGAGGCACGCAGAGAGCACTACTACACCTCAGGTGCTAAACCGGTAACTCAATTCATCCAGTTGTGTGCCTTGGCTATAAATAGGACGTCACAAAACAACATAAAAACATGTGAAACTGTTAAAGTAGTCCCGAATGTTTCCACAGGCTTTTGAAAATAGTGGATTTTCTAAATTAAGTTATACAAAAGAGCCTTTTTGAAAGTTATAAAGTCTCTGTATGTCTGCTACTAGAAACAAACAAAAACAGCCAGCCTGAAAAACCCCCAAAGTACTTTCACCACATTCCTACAACACTTTCTCTTCATATAAGGGGATTTACTTTCCTGGCTTGTAAATGGATGCAGGTTAGGTACACCGTAAAATAGCTTCCTTACAATACCTTTCAGTAGCTGTTAATTTGTCATTTATATTCATTGAGTACAAGTAAGAAAATGTGTTACCTCTCTGGTTTGATGTTCATTAACAGGCTGACTCCTTTGTGGAATCTTAAGCTGTTGTTCCAGCTTCTGTATCTCTTGCTGGAATACATCTCTCTCATGCTCTCGGTCAATTGCTTGCTCCTGAAAGTTAGGAAATTACGAGGATACACCATCTGATTTAAAAACTATCCAAATTAAGTACATTACTACTTCTTATTTCCGTTAATGTGAGGCTGATAACAGTGTGTCAGTATTTTTAAGGTAGCAGAACATCTTGCCAATACTATTAAAAAATTTATTTCATAATTTGAGGACAATTTCACTTTTTTTAAATTAAAAAATTAGGGCAGCATAGATACATCCAGTATTATTTCACAAAAAAGACAGTTTCATTTCTTCTGTTCCAGGTACACCTCACAAATGGTAATAAGCCCAAATTTTATTATTTTCTTTCCTAATGTTTGTCTTTCATATAGATAGCATAAATGCAAATTAAGAATAGAAATTAACTCTATGTTAATATTAATGAGGAGCCAACTGCAAAAAAAAAATTTACAAGTTGTTTGAATTTTGCATTTCAGTTTTACTTTTGACTAGTTTCAACTGTTATATACCAGTCTGACATTTGGAAAATACATCTTTATATAGGAAATAATGTGCAACTGGTAGCATCCAGTGAAGTATCACCTCTAAATGCCACTTTGTAAAACAGACAAACCTTATCAGATGCATTAAAACAAACTAGCTGAAGTACTGGATACAAAAAGGAATGTCTAGCAATAAAATATCTTGCAAAAATTCAGTAACCTGGAATAAACTCTCAACCTTTACAAGTTGCAGATTTTAACAACTCACCTGCTGTTTCAAGGAAACCGCAGAAATTCTAATGCTGTTATTACAAATAGCTACTCATCTCAGTAGTCCATAACTCTCCAGTTCATGCTATTTATAATCCCAAACCATAATGTATTTATAACTATGGGACTCGTAACAGGAATTTTTACTTCTGAACCTTCTACTACTATGACACACTAGTTTCAGTGAGAAAGACAATCTTGTAACTGAAAAATGAAACAAAGCAAATCCATCCATGCTAAGAAGTATCTGGAAAGATCTCTCCTTTAATGCTGCTTAGTAATAGACTATGCAGAGAAGGTGCCACAAATAAGAGAGTGTTATTGTGTAAAAAATTATTCCACCTTACTGCCACCAGCTAGAGAATTAATTGAGAAGGCACAGAAATAATAATTTTCTCCCAACAGCAGCATACAATACATAATAGGAATAAAATGGGAAAAGGGGGCAGGGAAGATGGTACTTGCTGAAAATGGGGTAGAGTCTAAAACAAAATTGCAGAGACAACCTGAGCACGAAGAAGTTGGCTACAATAGAGGCAGCTGCCACTGTGAATGGGGACAAGTACACATATAACTGGCTAGAAGGTGTAGCTTAGGATCCGGAAGTAGATTATTGGATACTATAAAGGAAGTCTATAAAAGAAACTTAGAGAAATTATGCTTTCAATTTCCAAGTACAACTAAAGCAGACTACTTAATTCCAATAGACTTTATTGAAAAACATGGAAATTCCCCAACTGTTAAAAATGGTCACAAAAATTTATGTTTCCTCATTAATTTTAGAAGTTTCCCATTATTTTAACATTTAAGAAGCCTATTAAGTTATACTCAGAAATACAGACCAGTCCTAAGCAAGCAATTCAAAAGAACTTTCAATTTTTAAAATACTAATTAAATTATCAGGCTGGAACCTATAGAACTGTTACTATTGTGTGCTTCTTTACGTTCGCTCAAAATCTGAAAAAACTAGCATTTCCTGATGAACCAAACCTCAGTATAGGTGCCCACCCACTTCCATTAAACTAGCCTTTTACCATACTTACATCTAGAAATTTTCTTGTTTTCTCAAGTTGCTTCTCCAAAGCCTGGTTTTGCTGCCTTAAGTCCATCAGTTCTGCATTTTTTTCCTGCTCTAGCTCTATGAAACGATTGACCTGTTCTTCCAAGTCTATTTCCAAGACTTTCACTTGCTTCTGAAGGTCATCATACTCTTTTTCAGCTTGACGTTGTACTTCAATTTTTTCTTTCATTAGCTTTTCTGTTTCCTCCAGCAATTCTGGTTATAATAAAAGCATCACACAATACTTTGTTTATGAATAGTTAGTAATGTTGTGAAGCGAAACCACTCCCCAATGTATCCATGCTGTACTCTGCAGAAGGATGTGAACTGGTTTGGGTCTTTACTATTTTTCTCTTCTTGAAAATGTATTTTCCTCTGAGAAATAATTAGGATTCCCATTAAAGTAAATTCATGTTAAAATTACTATCCCTTTGTTAGTCTCAGAGGACTACAAGTATCAGATCACTTCCCTGTTTAAGTTTCATATAAATTACAAGGTCTTTGCATAATTGAAAAGAAAGTGCCTGGGTTCGAACTAAACCTAGAGTCAGCACAGAAGTTAATGAACTACAGAAAGCTCAACCCTCTTCTCATCCCCAGTGTCAGTAAAATCAACCCACTCTCAATCTTCACGATTAAATGTGATACATATGAATAATTTAAAGGAAATATTGAAAGACTTAGCAATGTTGCCAGGCAGACAGAGAGGGAAAATACTGACCTGTAATTGGAGTTTTGTAAAATCAGTGACTGCATGGATGCCCAATTTTCTGTCCTCATGGAAAAGCTGGCGAGCATGTATAGTAAAGCCCCAAACCACTCTATTAAGACTCTTAAACCACCACCCATTGAAGTACACATTAACTAACCGTACAAATCCCTTGAGGCAAAATCCAAACTGTAAAGTGCAATTACATTTGGAGAATCTTTAAAACATGATTGATATTTAGACAGAAACCATACAATTTACTTTCACTATAGGAGAAAGATCCTTTAGGCACCATCATCTTACATCATATTTGACCAATTCTCATTTCTAGGTAACCATTATATATCCATATAATACAGTGTTTAGTTATCATCATGAATGACTCAACTGTATTTGGAAATAAAAAGAAAAAAAAAGGGGGCTACAAAAATATCCCTCCAGTACCATCTGAGTATCTGTAATTCACAGGTGAATAAGATGATGGTTATTCATGAGTTTGCTTATTATGCTTAGAAATTACAAGAAATGATGTTAGCGAAATGTAAAACTGAGTATGAAATACAACATCAAAGCTGCAGGCCAGTAAGAATTACAAGTAATGTCAGTAAGCAAAAAGCCCAATAATCCTGATTAACAATGTCAGTACGTGTAAGTCTTCCACCCAATTACAGATTGGCCATGCAACATACAAACACACCTGCTTGGGAAGCTGCATCGACTGCAGCATCTATTAGGCCTAGGAGAACAGAGAGAGAGAGAAAACAAAAAAAGAAGCAAAGTAATTCACATGCCAGCTATAGTTTTCTTGTGGTGCAACAATGTAAGAGAAAATGAAGCCAAAGATAGATGTGGCATTTAATGACAAAGTTGTTGAGGTAACTTAAGGAATGTGGTTAAGTTATTCTGGTATGCATGATATAAGTATCTACACATATTTATAGAATTGTTTAGCCTTACAGTTGCTATACATGAAAATAACTTTGAAATATTTAGAAACATGAAACACATATCAAATAACTAAACTGGAGTCATAGACAAGGATCATCACCACTATAAAGCAGGAAGCAACAGGTTGTTCATAAAATTCCATTGTTACACAAGTGGATGCAAGAAATTGCAAATACACATCAAGATGTGTACTTTATATAAACAGCGACATTATAAATTGCCATAAACTTCCAGAAATTAAATAAAATGACAATTTCATCCTCCTATGTACAATGTAAGCACTGCAAGCCTTGAAAGATCAGTACTTCTTAAACACCACTGTTCTAATTTTCTTCCCCTCTCAAACATAAAATATTAAGTTATTAGTTTAAGGAAGAATTAAAAGACATGTTTACTTCATGAACATAAATGCTTTTTTTCAGTAAGCAGTTAGTTAGACTACATCGACATGGTATTTATCCAGAATTTTCACCATCAGCACGGAAAGCTTTAATCACTGGTAGATAACAGGGTTTCCTCATCATGCAACTTTTGTGCCATTCTTCCCAAAAGAGGAATTTGGAAAAGTATATCTTCTTTGTCTAAAATAATTATGGCCATCATGTGTAGGTTCAATCATGTTCTGGTAGTATGCTTGCTACTCCCTCTAAAACTCTGTTTGGAATGTGTTTAGAGCAGTATTCTTATCCATAGGTGCTAACTTCAAGGCGTTCTATCTCCAGTGATAATATAAATAAAAGCAGATTTTTGGAGCTATCAAGCTCTTGCCAGCTTAAAGAACAATTATGACAGCTCAACACTTCTGAAAATTCATTTTTTTTCAAACATCCAGAAAAGTTATAATGCTAACATTAGGCACTGTGTATGAAAATACCACATTTTTCCCTATCGCATTTTTATTAATGATTACAAAGGGGTCAGAAAAAAACCCTTCATCAAGATTATATATAATTTACAATAAAATCTGATAGAAAGACTGTAAGGAATACATACGCTGCTCTACTGGCCCGGCTTCCGCTCTCATGGCGTCCTTCTGCCTGGAGAGTAACTCCTTTTCTTCCTGGATCTGCTGCTGTTCAGCCTCTAACTCCTGCAATTTGTTACCTGTACACAATAGTTCTTGCTCAAGATGGTCAATTACATCTATTTTTTCCTGGAGTTGTTTTTCCAGAAATGCTTTTTCATCTGCATAACCATCAATGAGACCTGTAGAATATAAATTTTGGGGCAGATTTACTAGACAATAAAGAACAATATTAATTATTTGCATGGTGAAGTCACTATAGTACTCTCACATGAATGCACGTGCATGTGAGATACTCAGCACCTGACAACTTCTACTCTTGTTCTTGCTATTCTGCCACGATGAACAAATTATAGGAAGGAGAGCACAAGACCAAATACAGCTCTTCATTTTTTCTCAGTGCAAGACCTCTGGAGCAAACAGGAACTCCAAAGCCAAGGAAGAATAAGTGTGTAATAAACATAGGAGAAATAAGAAATTTCAAGTAAGTTCAGGTGCCAGGTGCCATTTTAGGTGCCTCAAGACATTTGTTTGACCTCAGTCCACAGTTTCTGTAAGATCATGGGTCTCTCCTGTAAGTTGGGTATCATATAGATGCCTCCAACATCATAAGGCACCAAAACTGGCCACAGATGTCCATGTTTAGCACCTGAACCACTCCCAAAAGCCCTGTAACAGCTGACATCTAAGAAACAGCTTAATTTCTTTACTATTTATGTGCAATTTTAAAGTAGCACAGAACAATTAACGATCTTTTTAACAGTTAATTTGGGACACTGCCTTGAGAATATGTCTTTTATGCTTTTAAAAACTGCTTCATAGTGAAGCAGTTTATATAGGAATCTGAGTGGGAGCTGTATTTTAGCTTTATGAATGATAGTAAGGCTGCACGAAGTGGCACCATCTTGGAATGACGCAGAAGTGAGCACACAGCTAAAGACTTAGGAAAAGCCATTGAATTTCCTAGAGGGCTGTACAAGCTAAACTGAGGTCCTGTAATGGTATTGGCTTAGATTAACATCAGTCCTTTCAGAAACGTCTAACCACAGAACACAAAAGACATTTTTTCTGAGTCACAGAAGGTACTAAATAGGTATCAGAGATTTCCATGGTTTGCATAAACAGTTGGAGAAACACAGGTCTGGTTCTCATGCATCACAATCATACATTGCTAACCAATCTTTTTTTCTGGACTTGGATTTACAGAAAACACAGCTGCACAGAGGGACCAGCTGTTGAAACATAAAATACTGAACTAGAAACATCATTAACAGCGTTTCAAAACTTTGAGACAACACAAATTCTAGTAGCTATTCCCACTGTATCAGATGCTGTTCACAATGAGTACTTGACAGATTAGAAGTTGAGAGGGCATTCCCAGGTTAAATGGAGTGCAGACACCCATCAAAAAGTATGAACAATGAAGAAAGAGTCTGCTAAGATCACGTTTTAGTATTTACTCCTGCCTTTTTTTCTCCCTTTGTTTAAAGAGATGTAATGAAAGTTGTCAGACTTCAAGTGAACAAATTGGCATTAGCTTTTCTATCACACTAGATAAGTCATATCTGATAGCACTAAAACATCAGAGGTTTGAAAGTGTCTCAGCTGTGTAGGTTTCGTCATAGGAAAGGAATGATCAAAAATGACACATTTTATCTCAAGAGAAGACAGAGTACCATCAGATGTATAATGAACTAAGACATTGTTCTACACACCTAAGGAATTTAATAAGAGAATGTAGTTTGGCTTTGTTAGAGTATGCTCACAACTCAGTTCAATGAGCAGAGGCTGTGATTTTGAAGTGCATTAACTTCAGAAGCTCACAGAAAAAAGGATGAAAAAAATTAATTAATTCAAAAGTTACAAAGCATTAAAGCAGTAAGAGGGACAAATTAGCTGAATTCCTGCAAAAGGCCAAACTGAATTAAATCTCTACATGTGACATAAATCTGCACCCAACTTAAAAGCTCAACAGTGCAATATATCTATCAAAGGCTAAAACTAACACCAAATTCTGTCTCTTATATTCCAGCACTGTTCATCAACCAAATCAATGCAGCCAGTCTGTCAAGTCTTATAAACTGACATCGCTGTTGCTCTGATTAAAATTAAATTCCAGTTAAAAATTTTTGAAGATTTTTCCACTTTACATGCTTCCAAGTTTTTTCCCCCAAATAAAACATTATCAGATAAAATCTTGACAGTGCAAAACATAGTTTCATAGCTCTCACTAGATTTTTGTGTTTAATATACTTTCTTTAAGAGCAAAAAATACAAACTTGACACATCTGCTTTATCTCCAAACCAGGCTCTGATAGAATATTTCAATCATTTAATAAAATTTTACAGGTAAATATTGCCTTCATTTATATATGGGCAATCCCATTATCTACAAACTGGCATCTAGTAAAAGTCTGAAGTTTCTTTGCTGCTATTAGTTTGTTTGCACAAGCTAACTTTATAACAGAAGTGTGTTCCTCAGGAGAAGAACCTAGTTAATTTCAGATTTTTTTTTTTTGCTTGTTTGTTGGGGTAATAGGTTAAAAATAGTAATAAATATATGAAAAAATATGTATAATAAGCAGGCCTTGTTCTGTGGGATGTAATTTTCAAATACAATTACGTATGCATTCTTTGCAATAGAGTCCTGCAAAGTCCTTCCAGTCCCATGGAAATGTATTTACTGTAAATGAAAAGGTAAGCTCGTAATTCTTAGTGGAGAAACTGACTAAACCAAAAAATACAGACCCATAAGAAAAAGCAACAGAGGTAAGCTCATAACAAAAACTTTTTTAAAATAAATAATATTAGTCTCTAGTACTATTTTTAAATGCTACTCGTAGGATTAAACCTATGCAGACTGCTCTGATATTATCCTGCCTTTAAACAAAACTTAACACTAACTTCTCTGCTTTGTCCTAGTACTAGTCTATTTTACTTTACTACTGAAGATCTATGAATAAAAATTCTATCAATACAAAAATATTATCCTCCAGGGAAAGCAGCAGATGTAAAAGCCACCTACATTCTGAAATTCATCAATACTAAACAGTTTTTAACTCCATCTGTGCAAGAATATAAACTCTGAGGTCACCTATATTTTGGTGGAAGATTTCATCTTTTTTGCATGTTAAGATGTGTTCCATACAAGATTTCTTTCACTCTTCATTTAATATTAAAAAAAAAAGTAATAACGCTTCTTTCAGATTTGAATCTATTCCCTCTGAAATAAATTCTTCTCCTTGCTAGTTTTGCTAAAGCTATTGAAATTCTGCAGCCAGTACTGGTGCTGATGACACACAACGCTCATCTGTGTGAATTGACAGACTACCAACTGTCCCTCGCATCACATTTCAGACACATGGCTTTGAAACCTGCACTTCTTTTCAGGTTATGTGTGTTCCAGTTCACCGTGTGGACTCATGTTGGATTATCTGTCTGTGTAAAACGAAGAGGAAGGCTGGCAGGGTAGCATTCTCCAGGAATAACAGTTGGCTAGGAAACTAACTCTATGCTCCCACTTTGAAACAGAAAAGTCTGCTGAGCTTCAGAACTAACCAAAATATCCTTCTGTATACTACTACAGAAATCGTGCCTATAGGGTAGGTGGTTTTTGCGTCTTTCCAGACGCTAATTACAAACAGATAATGACAGAAATGCTGGGTGGAAACAAAACATTCAGCTACTGAAACAATAAAGCTGCTTCTAAAGAACAAATTAGGTGTCTGTCAGATTTGAACATATTTTCTTGTTGTCAAAAAAGATTATTAGATTCCCCTGTTGTAATACCCTACAAATTTTAATTGCTTCCTAAATGCACTTAAAAAGATCACTTAAAACAGAGTGCAAACAGAAACGTATCACCACATCATCAAATGCAGAGTGAAGGTTCTAATTTTTATCTGTGTTTGTGTGGGACTAAGTTAAGGTCAAGAGGTAGCAAGTACAAACTGAAGTATGTGAAATTGCATTTCAACGTTAAAAAATTTTTTTTTTAATATATATATA